AAGCTGTGCTCTCGGTGGATCCCACACAATTTGACTGAGGCTCAAAAGACGGATCGCGTCACTTGGTGCAATGCCATGCTTACCAGATTCAACGAAGGGGCGTCAAATTTGGTATGGGACATGGTAACTGGTGACGAAACATGGATTTATAGGTACGATCCCAAAACAAAGCAGCAATCGAGCGTATGGGTCTTTCGAGATGAGCCGAAACCAACAAAAGTGGCGCGCGTGCAAAGTGCGTGGACTCTAAGCGGACGATTCCTTCTTTTTTTTTTAATAAAACTGGACACGTGGCTAATGTTGCTTTGGAGAATCGTTGTACCGTGAACAGTGATTGGTACATGACCATTTGTTTCCCGGAAGTTATTGACAAACTCCGTAAATAAACCGTAAACGCCGTATCATCTTGAATATTTTTTTTTTAAATTTCATAAATTCGTCCAAGTCGAAACCGAACCCGCAACCTTTTCATAAACCGCCCATAGTACTAACCGCTGCGCCACCAAAGAGCACAAGCACACCCCGTAATATGAACGCGTCCACGCGCCGCAGGCCGACTCCGGTACCCCTCATAAGGTGGGGTACAGGACTCGTATTGAATAAAATTACAACGAAGAAGATTACTTGACAAGAACCAAACACATATTATTATTCGCATCTAAGTACACTTACAAGAGTCGGTTCATCCCCGAAGAAGAATGGCCTGTCGGCCAGCAAATTAGAGAGCACGCGCAGATCGTTCTTGCCGAACTCGATAATCTCGTCTTGGCTGTGAACGCCAATGCCGTGAGCCTTAGCTTTCTTAAGGCCCTGCAAAGCGAATAATCATCATATTAATCACTGAAAACAAGGAGTAAAGTTAACAAAATCCAATAAACAAATAAATAAATCTAAGACAATAAGATGTAAACAAGACCTTGCGTCCAGAGGTGAATTTGTAGCAGAAGTTGAGGATGGGGTTCGGCAGACGGGTGTTGAGGGCGTTCTGCAGGTTGACCTGGTATCCCTTGATTACGCTCTCGGGGTATTTGGCGCGCCACCACAATAATACCCACGATAGATGGTTCTCGATCATGGATATCATTGCGTGCGACACCACTCTGTGCTCGGGGCTGAGCGCTGAAAACCACATGCAAGTAATAATACACATGACGCGAAGTCACGTAGCGACCCACTTTGACTTATTTGGAATGCCTAGGGTGAATGTAAAACACTAGTCTGTTATCGCTGCTGACGAACAAATAAATACTAGCTGTCAAGCTCTAGCTTTGTTTCCCGCCGTGGTGTCAGCGCACATGCGCATATGCTTCTAGGATTCTAGAATTGTAGGTCGCCCGGGGAGCTCAAATTGTCGATATGCACTACCTAGATTACCTGCGCGGGGATTCGCAGAAATGCTGAGTGTTATTCAGGTCAACGCGTTAATTTACAGTAATATTAAAATAAAAATGGAGCCGAATATTCACGAAGTATATTGTTTTATGGATTGTATTTATAAAAACGTTATCAAAAACTTACTGAAAATGTTAGTGATTCCGACATTTATACCTCAGAAAAAAATATGTACAGCAAAAATTTTTAAAGAACAGCGTAACGGAACGTTAACATATGTAATTGCGGGCTAACACAAATGGCTAATTAGGTGATGACAGTCCAAACTCACCGGCATCGAGATCCTTGTTGAATTTCTCCGAAAGCTCCTTGATGATGAAGGCGCTGTCAGCAATCTCTTCCCCGTTGAGCTCAACAAATGGCAACTGTCCCTTCTTGGACCGAAACTTGGCGTGGTGTTCAACATTCTGTCAACGCAATAATAAATAAAAGTATTGTTTACAAACAGCGCGAAATCATGACTGTCAATCTTACGTCACGACAACATTACTTATTATTATAGACCACCGAATATCCCCGTGCAACCAACCAAACAAGACAAATAAGTAGGTTCCATTTCCCCCTTTTCTTAAACTATTGTATCAAATGGAATATACAGTGGAGGACGGAAAAAGGAGATGGATTATTATTATTACGCTTTGACGGAATGGACAGCGACGATATATGTATCTCGTCTTTCAATTGATGAGTGACCAATTCCAAATATGCAAACTAATTTCAGACTTGCGTTTGTGCAAATTAAGATTGGACTGCGTATACAACCCAATGTCACCGGATCTATCTACGTCATGATCGACCTAATAAGCGAGCTTTTAATATTAGCTGAACAAATAAATTCGCAGCAGCAGCATTCAACAAATGTATCAACTAAAAAAACTGTAAAAAATTTCAAAATTTCAATTAGATTAGCCCGCTATAACGAGTGAAGAATTTCGGAACCTTATTCATAACTTTCTGTGATATCTATCATAGTCTAATAAAATAAGATTCATTCTGCATGGCAACAACAGGTTGTCACAATCATAGACTTTGTAGCCAAAGGAGCGATTCAAGAGTAAATAAGAGGACAGGGAATGGGTAGCTATATGAACCGAAGGGGGAAAAGCCGGGTGTGGGGTCTCTGCCGACGCGGCGAGTAAGGGCGGCGCATGGCGACCGGGAGAGGACGCGGGCGCGGGCGGCGGCGGCTGAGTGGGGCGGCGTCCCGGCATGGTTTATCTGCCCGCGTAACCATGGCGACGGGCTACAGACGAGCGCTAGTTGGGAGCGGGGAGCAGCTGTATTGATTTCGGCTGGCGAGGTTCAGCGTCCGACCGCCCCCCTGTACCCTGCTTCCCTCTGCCTAGACCCTATCACGTGTGATATCTAATAATAACTGGTAACGAGACCTAGCCGCGTAAACTACAGTTGCAGCAAACAAACTTTAGGTACCTATATTAGTTCCTACTTCGACGGGCCGTATATTGATCCTGAAATGATTAACTTATTAGAACGGTTATTAAACGTAGCTTGTATGTACCAAGCAGAAATTAACCACAGAAAAGTTATTTACGAACCTTAAAATATATAATTAATAAATATATTATGAATAATACATAACTAAATTAAGATTACGAATATTAAATGTATAATAAATTTGGTAAATTTTATAATAGTATGTATTCACTAAATAAAATATACGAAGAATCAAGCCGCATCAAAACTCGAACAAAAATGTGTTCGTTATTTATAATTTTTAACTCTATGAACATGTAGCCTTCATAATACTATGTTTCTAATCAATAACCATGTCTATCTTGGACCATCTAGGTTCCAGGTGAAATCATAATTGATTTGATTTGCAGTAGCAAAGGCAGAAGAGAAATTTGCATTCCTTTGTTTTCTCAGTAGCCACAAAATTGTTTTGTAATTGTTCTCCTTTGACTCAGCTGAAGGAAATGGCACATAAATCGACATTCTATTGTTTATTATAAAAGTCAGTAGGTTAACGACAGAACTGAACAGTAAATTTAGGTAGTAGTTAAATATTTTATCCCTTATAATCTAAAGAAATCATTGCTTCAATAACAGTTTGGGTGTAATTTGTGGTTGTCTATGTGTGTGTCCATGGCACCCGTAACACAGGGTTTCCCTAGTGCGGGGCTATGTTGAGTGTGTGCGTTATTATTATTATTATTATTATAAATAAATAAATAAATAAATAAATTATTATTATTATTATAGTTGAAAATGGTCCTAATTGAGCACACGCGGTCCATTGATGACACGCATTTTAGACCACTGGGTCGCCGAGCTCGCTATAACAGGGCTCCGCCACTTGGATAAGCCAAATACAGACATGCTTACAGCAGCAGTTAGAGACAACAATAGCACTTAAGAAAAAAATTATGTTATGTGTAGTACATAATACAAATTCTCGTAAAACGATATATGTGTATAACAATGACAGGACGTTTATAAGTGCTCTAAAAAGTAAATTAAAAATAACCTTATTCAAAATTTGAATATTACTGCGTTATTTATACTTCGTTTCAATCCATTTTAAACAAAAGTAAACAAACAAGTCACTGACCCGACCACAGACGGTTTAGTGATGGCCAATTTTACTGCCAACTGCAAATCAATTAACTAGTTTAATGAATAGACTTGTTTAATTGAGTTATACTAGCGGTTTTCATTACATAACCTATAAAAGCATATTTAAAATTTGCGAAATCTTAATTTTAAATCCTCCTTCAAATCTCTGTTCAAATACTCGTTCGATTGCGATTAAAATTTTCGGTTTACTAATAGATTACAAAAACTTTAATTGAATGAACTGAATGTTATTTTTCCGTGCAGCACTACGCAACCTACTATTCATACATCCATAATTGAAAAATACCTCCACTTTTTGACTACCATTTTTCAACGATTTTACGACGTTATCATACGTCGGAAAACGTGATGAAATATCAAGTCAAAATCTTCGAAATATACGTGAAAGTGTTACTTATTCGATTCATTAAGTGATTACTTTAGAAATTCAACCAAACCATTTTGTTTACATTTCGTTTAAAAATGGAGTGGAACAGACTATACTAATCTACTGAAAACTTGTGTACAAATAAAAATTGCGAAACGAATGAACACTGAATAAAACTGACCTCATTTTTTCTAAACTTGGTGCTTGATAAACCTTCCATCATACGGAAATTCTATTATGAATCACAACATAGGAACTCTTTTCATTAAAACTGAGAGTTATAAAAGTAAATATATAACCAATAATATAAATTAAACTGGTTCCTACGGTGTGGAAAAAACGTTTTTATAGAAAAACATGTATTTTCTGAAAGTTAGCATTTCTTACAGAAGTTTAGTACATGATTTGGAAATACAGCTTTTTTCGTAGAATTGTAATTTTATTGTAATGTAAGCTTCATCAACTTTTGTTTATTTGCTAAGGTTCCGAGATTATTTTTAAATAACTCATTTTAACGCAGCTTAGTTAGTATTATAGTTAGCCTCAGTAGTTAGCTGCAACTCCATTTGTTTTTCGGAATCTTTATTACGATCCAAAATAAATTTGTATTCGTTTCGTTGTAATCTCTAGCTATTGCTACACGCACGCACCCCGTGATACTCACGTTACAATACCTCTCCTGCAAAAACTTGTTGAGCATGGGACATTCAAAGGTACACCACGCTACGTGATCACAGGTTTTAAAACACCCTTTTTGTAACTGCTGCCCTGTATTAATTCCCCGTCGTTACCCATTAAGTCGACTCGTAATCATGGGTGTTTTCATTTGCGCTAATTACTCAAATCAAGAGTCGTATTCAGGAACTCTACTCAATGCTCAAGTCAGGTTCTGAGTAGTTGATTTCAAGCACTGGAAATACGACCGTAATGGCAGGGACTTGAGTATGATTTCGAGTGCTTTAAACCATACTCAAATCCTGACTTGAGCATTGAGTAGAGTTCTAGAATACGACCCCAAGACTTCAATACTGATATCGTTGAATATTAAGTACATTTACTTCAGCGTTATGTTGTGTTGCGAACAGTGATGATAACATAATAGAAACAACAAACATACAAACCTTTCCAAAAATGACTCTACAACTCACTCGTTAAAGCCGGAACATTTACAAGCTGCTAATAAACAAACCGTTAACTAGAATGTAACCAACTTTACAAGGGCTATTTACCTCTACTTTACACTTAGATATCTATAGTTCACAAGAGATAGATGGACAGAGGTTCGTGACACCGCTGCATGAATAAGAATTTTATCTTAGTCATTCGTATGTGCATAGCAGTAGAGAACTATAAAATTCGACGGTAAATAGCATGTAGCACCTTTTAGTGGTTTATATCTATAGTTTATATCAGTTTGTTTCTCTTTCTTTCTGTAAGTTTATAAATTATCATTTTAAAAATGGATAAATATTACGCACCATATTTTACGGTACACATATTATTTTAGCTGAATTCACGGATATCCCAGACATCTCAATACATACAAACAAGTCATAAGGGGGGTGGCGGTGGTGAGGGGGAGGAGACGTATCTAGGCTATCCAGATATAACTTAGGCTCGGAGCGAGCTAAAGTCCCGGGCGGCGCGCACCCCAGCCGTGTGCGGCGGAGGGGTGCGCGCGGCGGGCGGGGGTTGGTCGATGGCCGGCCGGGCCCGGGCGGGGTCGCGCAGGCGCCTCCACCGCAGGTCGTAGCCCTCTCGGTTGCCGACCCTCGTCTAGGTGCCAACATATATCATTATGCATCCTAATACTTATACTTAAAATTGCAAATCTTTTCCCATACAAGAACCTCTAAATATAAATGAACTTCTGTCTTTGTAACAAGTGTTAATAACACTTGCAGAGACAGTCAGCGTTGTCGTCTACATTAGTCTAAAATTCCATTCTTATGCATTTGAAATGAAAAAATAGTATGGGCTGCAAATATTAAATTTTGTTTTATTGTTACAATTCACAAAACTAAGCAAAGCAAGGATTTCTACGACAACATTCGTGGCACATTTATGAATTCCAAAGCCCATAGGTACAAATACCACGCAGTTTTTCTTCTCGCCATTTAACGAGTATTCACTAAGCATATTACCACGGTGGGTTGAACAAATAACATTCATTGAATTGAAGTTAATTTTAACAATGTATGTTACTGTTAAATATCGTGTGTTAAGTGTAAACAAGGTAACATCACACAATGCATTACCGTTACTTAAACAGTAGCGTTCAGGGAAACGCTTAACCATTGTGTGGCTATTTTAGTGTTTCAGCTTATTTGTACAGCGTAACTACAACAATTCACTTGCACTAGCATTTTAAGGTGACGCTATATTCGCCCCAATCTCAATCCCGTCTCTGTAGATTGAAGGTTGAAGCAATCGCAAATGTTA